TTATAGATATAGCCTACCAATAATATATAATTAACATTTTATAGATAAGTACTTTAATTCTGATCTCTTTAAATGAACAAGACCATATTCATAATTTTCCTATATTAAAAAAAAATACTATTGTGAAAATTGAAACCAAATAGCTGTGTCCTAAGGTAGAAAAAGCACTGAAAAATAAAATCTCTAATCTTTAACATTTATTGCAAACTACACCATTCAGGGACCTAAACTAGATTTCTCAAAGTTCATGATATTATTTAAAAACAAAAATCCTAGAAAAAAAAATATCAAATATTCACAGTAACATCTTTTTAACAGTGGGGCTATGGGTGATTTTTATTCTCTTCTTCATTTTCTGTTTGTCAAGTTTTGTAGACTATATCCATGTATTATTTTATTGGGGAGAGGGGGAGAGTTTAAAAAATAAATTGTTGATGAAAAGTATAACTAGTGTAAGCTGTCTAGATGACTTCAATATACACGAAATAACTACTTAACCATGGTGGTCAAACAGATGATAACTCAACGCCCTCTTGGGAATTTATTACAAAGTATGAGTGCTGTTTGGAAAGTATCCAGCCATAATTTTCATAATTTTTCATATTACATGCCTGGATACTTTCTGGACAGACCTTGTAGATTTTTCTCGCAAACCACCAGCCACATGTGAAAATCATCATGTATCCTGAGATGACAGTATCACTGACAGCTTCTATACTATAATGGAAAAGTAACTATTTTTCCATATTCTAGAATCCAGTATAAATCACTACCTCTGTTTTTGTAAGTAACAAAACGGGAGGAGGCTAGACTTAACACTTGTATCTATATTTATTTCATCTGATCTGGAATCCTCTTTCGTTTTTCATGTTTTGTTATTTTAAAATAAACTCACTTTCATAATTTATTGTAGTTTTTAAAGTGGTAAAGAAAAAAATCTAAACAATAATTAATCCTGCATTAAATATCAAGATCTGCTAGGGGAAAAAAAAAAAAACTCTCTAATCCTTACAGAGGATAATCTCTATTACAAAAGAAAGCCATTAGCGGAACAGTACATGTTCCCTCTTAATTTCTACCCACCACTCCTACCTGACAAATATAACAAGAAGTAGAAAATAGAACTATTTCTATAAAAAGAAAATCTTGGAACCTAAAGCTGTCAATACAGAAGAATATCCAAGAAGAGAGATTCTCAAACTCTTACTGCATAGCTAACTCATGACTCAAATGTTTTTAAGAAGTATCTTGTATAGAATTAAGTGTGCCCATTTATTAAGGAATCTATTGCTTACTAAAGGTTTCATTTATTTCTGTTTGGGAGTGATATTTTAGCAAGTCCTTAGCAAGCTGGCCATGTATAAGGGCATGGAGAAAACAAATTTAATAACTGGAAAATCAAAGAGGAAAAAAATTCTAACTGAATCTTTCTAAAGTGAAAGTACATATGATAGGTGATGACCATCACAAATAAGTACAGTTCCCTACACTATAACATCACACACTAAACCAACATCTAAACAAAATTTTGAAATACTCATCTTGCTTGCAGATACCTGAAATCACTCACACCAGCTAGGTCACCATAGTATACTAACATGAAGAAGAAATGTAGCCTTCTCTCCTGAGGTAGAGAATACCTCTGTAATACTTTGGTTCCAACCTTGTCTGTCTTTTTCCAGATTTGTTGTCAGATAGGGCTAATGAGCATATTCTATAGTAGGAGAGAGCTCAAAATTCTCTTAAAACCAAAATAATATCAAATAATCCTAGAAAATAAGCATGAGAACTGAAAACAAAGAAAATTTAAAGGTTGGACATACCCAAAGCCAAATATATAAATTTCCTATACTGCTTTAACCTTCCATGCAAGATCTTAAAATTTCCTCCTTTAACTGTGAAAAAAACTGGTAAAGTAATATACCTACATAATGTCCCTGCAGGCAATATCAAATGTGACTCAAATTTAAAGATACTTTACACAGTAAAACAGCTAAAAAGAAAAAAATAGACATTTCTTTCCAAATACTGTAAGAAAGTTTCAACAAATGCTAACCAAAGACTAGACCTCAATGATTTCACTAAATGACTTTTTCAGGCTTGGAAGAAACAATCAGTACTTACAAAAACAGTAGTGTCTTATACACATATAATGTTGTACAGTTTACCATTCAGATTTGTGGGTAAGGAGACACAGGGGGCCTCATTCTACACTTTTCTGAAAACACAGCATTTTGGTTCTGAATATGAAGGAATCAAATCGTCCTTAACAATATGAAAGAAATGTAAGTTTGTAAAATCACAAGCTGCTCTCTGCTGAAGAATCATGTCAAATAAGTAGAAATAGAAAATGTGATTTTTATAAAAAAAAAAAATAGTACTCACACTTCCTAAACTCTTTTTCAAAAAGGCAATGCAAAAATAAGAATGACACATGACCTAATTTAAAATTAGTCAGTAAAATATTTAGATAATTTAGGACTTGAAAGTTTCTACACCTTCCCCACCACCACAAGAAGAAAAACAAACACCAGCATTTATCATTCATCTCCTTTCTTTGTCCCAGCCAATTAAGAAAACAAATTCTACCATGAACTAAAACTGATCTTAAGAAACACACATTTTCTGCTGTCCCTCTGTTAGGATGGTAACCCCTGAAAACGTAAGAGAGCAAAGCTAGAGCCTAGAATCAGAAGTAAACTCAGCCCAGAAATGAGATATCAGAAAAAGAGGACGTACTTCTTACATAAGCATTGGCACATGTTTTAAATATAAATGGTCCTCCCCACTCCCACTCGTTGCTAGCTAACTTTGTATGTACCTGATTTTCACATAAACTACTAGCAATTCTGTGGTTTCTCATCATCTCCTAAACGGCAACGATACAGAGTCCACTCTGAACGGGCCCATCCTTCAACTTAAGGAGAGGACAGAAGAAATAAAAACTGCTACCTCTCCGACATCGGGCGCTCAGCCTGGGTCACGACTGCCGCACCGACAGCTCATCCTTTTGGGCATGATTCAAGAGTCAGCAGAACTGCACACTCCGTATTTTAGAAAATAACGACACACAGTCCTCTCCTTTCCTTTCCTACTAGTTTCCTGTTTACTGCAGACTGCGATGCAAAGCCATCCATTAATCTTTGCTGCCTGCTCGCTGCACAGGCCCCTTCCTCTCTCCCCGCACCTCCTCCCACCACGCCTGCTGATCTCACATGCGTTTGAACTATAGTAACCCCAATCCAGCTCGCGGCAAGCAGGCAGCGCAGCGGCAGTGGCAACCCAGCCGCAGCCGCCTCGGGGTTAGGAGATTACGCTCAGCAAAAACTCTGCCAGGAAGCAGGCACGGGAGCTCCCCTCCCTGCCTCGCCACGCATCAAGAGGCTCGCGAAGAAAGACGCGGGCCAAGTTCCGCACCCCCAAACAGAAAGGGGACCCGTTCCAGAAGGAAGGGCACGGTCTCGGGGCCCTTGGGTGGGGAAAGCAGAACTGGAGGAGGAGGAGGACAGAGGGGATGGCAAGTGAGAGAGAAAACCACGGGACAAAGAGGGATGAGGAGCCCTCTTACTGTGAAAAGGAACCGACAGACGGGATGGGATGCAGAGCAAGGGGTCCCCACTCCAAGCATGGCTTGGCAGGCCTTTCCGCGCCCCCAAGCCACCTTACATCGCAAGAAAGTGAGGAGGGTGAGCTTGGGGCTGCGTAGACCAAAGAAGGCGAAGGGAAAGAAGGAAGGCAGCTTGGAAGCAAAGTGGACAAAGACGATAAAAAGGCAAAGTTGGAAATGGAAACTGAAAAAAGGGAGCTGGAATGGGGCAGCTCTGGAAGGGTCCTTTAAAAGGCCTCGGGGTGCTGGGAGGCGAAGGGGGAGAGCCCCGAGTTAAGAGCATCTTAGGAATGCGAGGGATATTTCCAGGCCCCGGAGAAGAGGGATGGAAGGGCGGGGAGGCGGCCGAGGCCGCGGAGCCGGAGGAGGGGGCTGCGCGCGGGCCCGACAGGGGAGGGCAAGGCGGAGGGCCGGTGGGGCCCGGAGGACCGCGGGAGGGGCTGGAAGGCGGGAGGGAGGGGGTGCTGCGGGAGAAGAGGGGATGTGGACTCCGCCTAGGCTAGAGCGAAGAGGGAGGTGAAGCAGGGGAAGGGGGGAAGTGCGGGAAGAAGAGGAAGGAGCCGGCGACCGGAAGGGGGAGGGGAGGAAGGATGTGGGAAGCGGACTGGGGGCGCGGGGATGTGAGGGGCCGGGCCGGGGGTCTGGGCCACCTCCGGCTGCGGCCTCCCTACCTGCGGGGTGGCGCTGCGGGCCGGCGGGCCCCGCAGCTCCCCGGCTCTCTCGCCCGCCCTCCGGCTCTCCTCGGGGGGCGGCGGCGGCGGCGGCGGCGGGGGCCGGGAAAGCGCGGCTCACAGCGGCGGCTCTTCCGCGCCTGGCCTTGGTTGCTGCGTCTTGGGAGGCGGCGGCAGCGGCGGCGGCAGCGACCCGACCCGTGCGGTCACCATCGTCCGCGGCGGCAGGCGCTCGCGGGCCGAGCCCCTCAGCAGCCGGCGGCGGCGGCAGCCATACCCTCCTGCGCTCTCGCTCCTCCCGCCCCCGGCGCTCTGCGGCGGCCGCGGCCCGGCTCGCGCGCTCTGCGCCTGCGCGCGGCCCCGCCAGCGCGGCGCGCCCCTCCCCCGCCCCCTCGCGCGCGCCCGCGCTCACTCACAATCGCGCCGGCGGGGTGGTTCCCGCGCCGCCTCCGGTACGTGGGCGGGAGACACTACTAGCCTCTCCCCGCCCGCACAGCCGGGCCCCGGGGGCTATGGAGACGCGTACCACGGCGACACCTGGACGCGCACTGTGACACGCGCCATTCTGACACACGTGCTCTCTCACACTCCCCAAACACCACGAGCCGCACGCGCTCACACCCACACTCACCTGCAGGGACCACGTGGGAGAACGTGAGGTGCGGATCCTGCCCCGGTGCAATGGCAGTAGCAATGATGCGAGTTTTTGTTTTAACTCCTGACTGGACTAGACTGTCAGCTCCATGGTGTCAGGGACCACGTCCGTGATGGCTCAGCAGTGCCCAGCACACAATAAACCTCTGTGGAATAAGTGAGTGGATGAATGAATTCACTGGAACTGTTCACTGAGTATCTTTTCTTTAAAAATAATGGCCCCTTGGTTTGGTTCAAAGAATTTTACTGCAGTATGGAATTAAATGGTGTTTGTGTGTTTGTCTTGTCTTGGTCTAAGATTCAAAACAGATTAGTGTGCTCTTCCCCTCACTAACGTAGAGGAAACCCGTTTGTTCTGTCCAGTCTCTACCACTGATGCATAATTCTATCTTAAATGTCAACACCTTTTTAAGGCAGGGGCTGTTCCCTACAATTTGTAGCCTTAAGTGTGTTGTGTGTATAAAGAACAAATCAAGGATGTCACTGTTCTTCTGGGCTTTGGCAGGGCTTCTCATTCCCCATTTTTCTACCACTCTGCCTCACCAGAACCCTACACAACCCGCACCTTTATCTGTCTCCCATTTCCACCACCAAAAGTCCTGCACTGTTACTTTGCTTTTGCTTTGGATAATTCCTGGAGAGCCAGTTGCTACTAGAAACTGGTCTGGCCTTTGATGTTAAAAGTGATGAAAGATGCACACCCAGTAATGGATAAGATGTTGCAACTATACTTGGCCATGCTGAAATTGTGAAACCTCAACTTCTGCATGTACAAGAGAAATTTGTAATGTATTGTAATCTTGTGTCGGAGGCGCTCCCTGGAAATTCAAGTCTGTGGCCTCTGCACTTTAAATGGCTAACCCCCAATTCTAAACACCTTTGTATTTTGCTGAAATTGTAAAAGCAAGCTCTACATTTAGAAAATGCAATTCCTAGAAGCATCAATCAACCAAATTCAGAGTAACATTCCTTCCATTAGTTTGATAGCTCTGTAGAAATCAAGTTTTAAAATTTTCTGGGAATTGTGTTAATAACTTTCTATGACCACCTTTTATCCAGGTGCCTTAGACTACTTTACATTAATCATTAAACTCATCACATCCCAGGGAAGCAGTTTTTATGAGTCTCTTTATCTAGCCTGGTAAGTGAGAAATTACAGAGGCCACATGAGCAATGACTGGAATAGGAGCTGACCAAGATAGCAAGGCCTTATTCCTTGGTTCCCTCCCTGTTTTAACAACTCCACTACCACTCAGTCAAGAAAACAGAAGGCCAGAAACAGATTACAAAGAAGCCAAAATGTATATAATGCTAAATTCTGATTGGATTTATTTACTCTTCTTGGATAACTTGCAGAATCTTGAAAACATTAGTATTGTTACTGGATTTTGTTTTGTTTAAATGGGAGCAAGGCCTACCTCAGCTCTTCTCTTTCCTTTTTAAAAAGGAGTGGGGAATGGCTTTAAAGCCATATAACCCTCACTGTAGGAACTCTGGACTTGTAAAAGCAGGAAAAAGTCACATGTCTCTTTACCTTTTAATTTCACAGCAGCTGCCTGTAAATGCTGAAGTTCAAAACAAGTAAAGAAAATTACTCTGGTAATGAAAGGGTTACTGCTCTTAAGTTGCTGCCAATCCAGTTCTGGGAAAGCTCCGTGTTGCCAGAAGCAGGTAATCAAATGAAACTAAAAAGAAAAGCAAAGGAAAAAAGAACAAGAGGTGGGATAGGAGAGAGGGCCCCTCAACTAAAAGAGAGCAATCACAATTTAGAGGAAGTACTTTCTAGAGGCACTCAAGACCCACCAAATCAGGAAAAACAAGGACCTAAAAGTACCTGGAACAAACTTAAGGAAATGCCCATAATGCCATGGCTTAGTCATAAAAGGAACTAACCCAAGGTGCTAGAAGGAAAGAAGTAGAGTGTTTGTGGCTGAAGAATGGCAGATCACTCAGGATTCTAAAGGTTGTCTTTCTTCTTTCCTAAATGCATCCAATATTGAGGAGGAAGTCAACACAAAGTATGAAAGAATGCATATTTGTTACAGTTCTAGCCCTTTCAAAAGACAAGTTCCTGAATTCTTTATAAGAGCCCACTATTGCTAATAATCACATAGAAATAGTCTTTTGTTGCAAATCTGCAGATGGTTGATAGCCAGTTTATTATGCCCTACCTTCTAGATACAGAGACAAGATGGCATATAACAGATTTCACCTGATGGGGCCAAAATCCAAAGAACTAAGGTAGCCAACACTGGGAATATGAGGGAAAATTTTCATGCATTCATGTATCCACACACTTTTTTGTTCCCGATATTTTCTGAGCACTTTGAGCTTTTCTCTATCCAATTCAAAAAGTTGAATATTCAAAAATATCCAATTCAATAATCAACTTCTTAATTAGAAGAGTCTAATACTATATAGAATCTCATTCAACATAACTATCCCCATAGTTTGATTTTAAAAGCCAATTCTACAAGGAAAACTATAGTTTTATTAGGCAACATAATGTAGTAAAGGGAGATTCACTCTTTTTTTTCTTATATAACAGTTTAACTCACGTATGATTTAATCCATCCACTTTAAGGTGTACAATTCAGTGCTTTTTAGTATATTCACAGAGTTGTACAACCATCGCCACAATCAATTTCAGAGCATTTCATCATAATCTCACCCCCCCAAAAAAAACCCAACAAAGCCCATATCCATTAGCGGTTACTCCCCTTCTTTTCCCAGCCCTAATAAACCACTGATCTTTCTGTCTTCATAGATTTTCCTGTTCTGAACATTTCATATAAATGGAATCTTATATGTAGTCTTTCGTGTCTGGCTTATTTTACTTGGCATAACGTTTTTTGACATCTATCCACGTGTAACATGTATTGGTACTTAATTGCTTTTCCTTGCCAATTAAAATTCCATTGTATGGTTATACCATATTTTATTTATTCATTGGTTGATGGACATTTGAATTTTTTCTTGTTTTTGGCTTTTATGAATAATGTGACTATGAACATTCATGTATAAGTTGTGTGGTCACGTTTTCATTTGTCTGGGGTATATACTTAGCCATGGAATTGCTGGATCATATGATAACTCCATGTTTAACTTTTTTAGTAACTGCCAGAATGTTTTCCAGTATGGCTGTTCCATTATACACTCTCACTAGCAGTATATGAGGAGAGATTCACTCTTACATTCAAATTCCCCCTACCTGTTAGCTATGGGTCCTTGTGCCAAGTGTACATAATTTACAAACGCCTCCATTCTTTGTCTATAAAACAGGGATAATGATGGTATCTACTTTACAGGGTTGTTATGAAAAATAAATGAAATGATGTATGCTAATATTCCTGGTACAAAGTAAACCCTTGATACATGCTATTATTTTCCCTCCTTCTGTCTTTGGTATTTGGTTGGCAATTTTTATTCTGTAGTAAAGTCAGATAGAGATGAAATTGTTACTACTTACTCTTATTACTCCCTAGTAGTAAGAGCTGTATATACATAGCTGGTGCTGAATGAATACTTTTTGTGGATAATTGGAAAGAGTAATAGAACTTGCATTGTTTTGACACCAAAATAAAGTTATCTCTTTTTACCTAGTATGGAACTAATACCTGGATAGGATGAGAAAGCATAGAAACAAGTCAGCTTTTTTGGTTGTTTATTTGGACTTCTCAGATTGCATTGTTTTAACACCAAAATAAATTTATCTCTTTCTACCCAGTATGGAACTAATACCTGGATGGGAAGAGAAAGCATAGAAACAAGTCAGCTTTTTTGCTTGTTTGTTTGAAGTTCTCGGATTTTCCTGAAAATATTTTTTATTTTCCCAACATTTTATTTTGAAGAGTTTCAAACATACAGAAAAATTAAAAGCATATTATAATGATCACCCATATGCACACCATCTAGATTCAACATTGTTAATGTTTTGCATATTTATGTTATCTGTATGTGTGTATATCTTTTGCTAAGCTATTTGAGAGTAAGCTACAGACATCAACAGACTCCACCTATAAATACTGTAGCCTGCTTCTTCTAAAAATAGTATCTTTCCCCAGTATTACCAGTTATCATTACCGTACACAAGAAAATGAAATATGTGTCCCTAAATTTTCTACTGTCCATCCAATATTCAAATTTTCTCAATTCTCCTCAAAATATCTTTTACAGATAGCTTTTTCCCAGAACAAGATTCAATCTGACAAGCCAATTTTTCTTTAATCAATCTGAGCACTTGATATTTAAATCTCTAATATCAGCAGAAAAAAAAAGTATTTTTGTTGTTCTTTTAAAATTTTATCTCAACTGGTGTACCTCTGTCCTACCCAGCCACTCTCTTTGTCTCAGTTCTAATTAAGCCTGAGATAGGGAATAGTGCAAAACCGTGTGTTGTTTTTCATGCATGGTGATACTCAACTAAATATTAGTAGAATAGATAGCCTATTCTTGGTATTGTTAGTGCTTTTAATTTGAACCATTCTACTGGGGTTTTTAACTTGCATTTCTCTAATTGCTAATGAGGTTGAGTACTTTTTCATATGTTTATTGGCCTTTTAGATGTGCTTTTTTATGAATTGCTCAAATCTTTTACCCAATTTCCTCCTGGGTTGTTTGTCTTCTTCCTTTTGTTCTGTTTTGTAATTGTTTATATATTCTGAATGCAAGCCTTTTGTAATTATATGCACTGCAAAATGTCCTGTTATGTAGCTGCCTTTTTTATTTTTAAATTGGTGTCTTTTTTTCAATTGCTAGATGTTTATATATTTTTTAAATCACACAAGAGGGCAAAATCTAAGTTTGCTTTCTTTATAAAAATTATCTTCTGTTTCCAAAACAGAAAAGATGAGAGGATACAAAAAATTATTCATGTATTAAACCTTGATTCTAATTAAATTTATAATACAGAAAAATAAATTTGACTGTCTGGGGAAAACTTTTCTACATGCTTAAAAATATATATTTGTTTAATTTAAAAATATTACAGGGGTACAATGTTTTTGGTTACATGGATCACTTTTGTAATGCTTGAGTAGGGCTATGAGTGTGTCCATCACTAAGATAGTGTTCTTTGTACCTCTTAGGTAGGTTTATGCCCATTCCTTCCCCCCCCTTCCCCCCTCGTTGATTTCCAGTGAGTTTTACTTTCCTCTGTGCACATGTATGCTCATCGGTTAGTTCCAAGTTAATAGTGAGTACATTTGGTATTTGTTTTTCCATTCTTCAGATACTTCACTTAGGAAACTGATCTACAGTTCAATCCAAATTGTTGCAAAAGCATTAATTCATACTTCTTCATGGCTGAGTAGTATCCCATGGTATACATATACCACATTTTGTTAATCTGTTCATGAATTGATGGACACTTGGGTTGATTCCACATCTTTGCAATTGTGAATTGTGTTGTAATAAATATTTGCAGGTGTCTTTTTGATAAAATTACTTCCTTTCCTTTGGGTAAATATCCAGTAGTAGACTTACTGGATAAAAATGGTGTGTCTATTTTTAGTTCTTTGAGAAATCTCCATACTGTTTTCCATAGAGGTTGTACAAACTTACAGTTCCACTAACAGCATATAAGCATTACTTTCTCTCTGAGTCCATGCCAACATCTATTGTTTTTGGACTTTTTAAGCCGTTCTAACTGGGGTAAGGTGATATCTCATCATGGTTTTAATTTGCATTTCCCTGATGATTAGTAATGTTGAGCATTTTTTCATATATTTAATAGCCATTTATTTATCTTCTTTTGAAAAGCTTCTGTTCATGTCTTTTCCCCACTTTTTAATGGGGTTGTTTGTTTTTTCCTTGTTGATTTGCTTGAGTTCTTTATAGATTCTGGTTATTAGCCCTTTCTTGAATGCATACCTTGAGAATATTTTCTCCCATTGGATAGGTTATCTATTTGCTCTGTTGATTATTTCCTTAGCTGTGCAGAAGCCTTTTAATTTAATCAAGTCCTATTTATTTATTTATTTATTTATTTATTTATATTGTTGCTGTAATTGCAATTGGGGTTTTAGTCATAAATTCTTTGCCTAGGCTGATATCTAGAAGAGTTTTTCCTACCTTTTCCTCTAGAATTCTTATGGTTTGATGCCTTACATTTAAGTCTTTTATTCATCTTGAATTAATTTTACTGAGTGGTGAGGGATATATGGATCCTGTTTTATTCTTCTGTATGTGGCTATACTACAAGTCTATAGTAACAAAAACAGCATGGTATAGGCACAAAAATAGAGACATAGACCAATGGAACAGAACAGAGAACCCAGAAATAAAACCATACACATATACCAACTGATCTTTGACAAAGCAGATAACAATATACACCAGGGAAAAGAAGACCTAGTCAATAAATGGTGCTCAGAAAATTGAATAGTCAAATTGATGTCTTTTGATGAATATAAATTCTTAGTTTAAATTTAATGCTTTTTATGTGTAATGCTTGTTTTAAACCTATTTTCCCACTGCTCCACAGTGCCATTTCTGCCAAAATTGTGCATATCTGAGTAGATTTGTCTCTGAATTCTCCATTCCACTCCACTGGATTGTCTGTCTTTGTGCCAACCCAAAACTGTTTCAATTAATCAAGCTAAATAAGAAGTCGATATGTGGTAGAACACATACATCTTTCCACTTGGTTTTCCTTTATTTTTTTTTCCAAG